GAAATCAAATATGTTATTGGTTTGTGGCTGTTTCTCAGTTTCCAGGATCCTGTTCACTTTGTCTCTCTGCTCAGGCATCAATTATGCACATGTGTGTGTACGTATGTGACCACAGCCTTAGGCGCACACACACACACACACACACAGAGACAGGACCATAAGCACTCGCCACTAAGGCGCTCTAATTAATTGTTAATTGCTCATTTGAACGGATTATTAGTGTTGTAGCGATTTGTAATCACGCCTAAAGCACATAATTGCAATGAATTATTAAATTCTATCGCATAATCACACTTCAATTGTTTTCGCAACTTTGTCACCTTCCGTTTAGCACGCAGATGCTCACATTATGCCCCAAATCCATTACAAATGCACAATATATTCTCCTAATCTTCAGTTATATGCATTTATGCAATGACAAACTAATTTATGAAGCTAAGTAAAATCTACGTAAGTGTATTCCCTTGAAAATCGTTTGAGTAAATACAATACAGGTGAAATAACTTGCTTTGCTTATTTTCACTAAAAGATTCAATATGATTGTTGTTCGAAAGGAAAATGTCTATAATCAAGAGGTTTATCCATTACACAAAGGGTATTCCCTATACAAAATTATGTGTTTGAATTTGCGAGAAACTTAAGAGAGTTAAAGCTTACGCCCATACCCTGTACAATTTTTGAATACATCAGCTTTGTCAGCATCTGGCACTTATATATATTGATAAAGCAATAAATTTGAAGTAATTTTACAAATGCATTCAAAAGTCTCAAATTTATGGGAGGGCCAGCAATGCGGGCATTTAAGCTTTAATTAAAATGCTGCACTTGGGCGATTAAAACGATGTAAACACACTCAAAGTGAAATAAGAAGATGATGGCTCTTGGACGTATTACCTGGCCATTACCTGATCCCGCCAACTGCCCTTCAACTCGCTTTAGCTGCAAACGCAGCTAAATTCAATTAAATCATAATTTCAATTACATGCTGGAAAATTAACCACAGAAACCAACGGTCATTTACACCGCAATGCCCCGGAGCCCCGGTGGAGGCTCCAACCCCCTCCCCAGCCCCATACTTGCCGGCCAGCCTGCCTATGCCACGCCCACTCCATTGCAATTCATTAACACTTCAAAGTTTCTGGCCAGGCAAAACGAGAAGCAAAAGGAAAATGGAAAAGAAAAAGAGGAAACCGCACAACAACACTTGAGGCTCTCGTTAATTTGTTAGATGAACAACAAGATGCCGACGACGACAACGACTGTGCGCCAGATATTTAAGCCCATGACTCGCGCGAGGACTCGAACCCGCAGCCAGCCAGCACATACGGTGCCTCGCAGCCCGGCCGCACTCCGAGCCGCACCAACGCAGCCAACGGAGCCTGCAGCCAGTCTGTCCGCGCGGTTTCCTACGAATTTCAGTGCCGGCAGCCAAAGACAAACAATAACAAGTACGAGTGAGCCGCAGTCGGGCACGATCGACTGGCAGATACCCTAAATCAGCCAGCGACTGTGCTGCGTCTTCCATTTGTTCGTGATTCACTTCTCGGAGCTTAAAGTCCGAGCGTGATGCAATTTGGAGGATTTTAATATGGCCAACAATTGTGTGCATATGCCAATGCGCAAGGAGGTATCCAAAGGAAAGAAATGTTTATAATCTGTATAAACTATAAGAAAACCCTGTTTCGTATATAATGCTCGCATACTTTTCGAGATCCCCTTTCTTAAAATCGACTTATATCAATATACAGATATGGAGAAATCGAGATATGTTTCTGTGTGTGATATAGCAGAATATATCTGTTGAATTTAAGATCTCCATCTTTGAGTTCGACCCGGGCAGACAGACGGATGTGGCTAGCAGATAACCCAGCTCAGCGTCCTGATCAGGAATGTCTATATACTACATGGGGCCTCCTTCTGCCTGTTGCAAACAATTGCACAAAAACATGATACCCTCTCACCCAAGCTCAATGCATAAAAATACGAAAAAAGAAAAAAAGAAGGTAGAGCGAGAGATGGTAAGAGAGAGAGGGAGCGCCGCAACCGGAAAGAACTATTGTTCCGGAAAAGTATTCCTGCTAGTTAGGAGTATCCGCTGCAAAGCACAAAAAAAAAAAAAGAAAAAGTAAAAATGATTTCGCACAAACTTTTCTGTTAGTCAATCATTTTAATTAAGTAATTTTTTCGCCTACTTGTCGTAAAAGTTTTAATAGCAGCTGAGTCTGGGTTGACCACAGAATAGAGCAGGGGGTCGCGGGCGAGAGGGGGAGCGGGGGTGTGAGTTTGTGCGGGGCACGGACAACATATTGCCCGGCGGCTAAACCCAAGCGGGTCGCTTTTCAGCACAATGGACTCGCGGGCATAACTGCATTTGCGGTTAATTATAATGTTGAGCCTGATTACATTTAGAGGGAGAGCAAGAGAGTAAAGAGAGAGAGGAAGAGAAAGGAGGAAAGTGGGCGTGGCGTGCAGCGGCTTGCGTCGGCCTTTGACCAACTTTTGCGCCGTGTCGCAATTTCTCGCACTTAATTGCTGAGATTTCAACTCAGAATTGAGAAAATACTCCAAGCTGTTGTCAATATACCCTGCACAAAGGGTATTATAATTCTTAGGGATAATATGCAAAGTATACCGCATGCAGGGCATACATATTCCGGATCTGTTTATAGCAGCCGATGCAAACTTATCTCTAAGCTTGACGAGGCTTGGTCTCGACTAGATCGAATCACTATAGCATATAGCTGCCATAGGAACGATAGGTCGAAATTTAGATATATCGCTCTTAAAAAAATCGTGACCAAACTTGCCATCTATGAGTTCTATTAAGATCCTTACATATGGGCACCAGACTATCTGTCTATTTGTTGTGATGCAAACTTGTCTCTTAGTTTGAAAGATATATTGACGTGGCTTGACATCGACTGGATCGAACCACTATATCATATAGCTGCATAGGATTGATTGGTCACAAATTAATTTCTTCTCTCAACAAAATATCATTGCCCAACTTGATAGGTGTGTACTATATGAAAAACTATTCTGTTTAAGCAAGCTTCACTGTACTGTATCCATATATCTGCACAATCCCATCAAAGCGAACTGCTTTGGAGTATGGCTTCCACATGAAAGCACTTTCAAACTGTAGAGTATTTAATCTTTGGCAAGTCTTAGCTAACTTTTTTTTTTTGCTGTTATTGTTGTTGTTATTGTCGTGTAGCCTGTTTTGATGTTTGTTGCTTGACTGTTTAATGACCTCATCAAAAGCCAATATCAAAGTTGTGCCAAAAGTTTTATTAGCTACAAACGCGTCGATGTTTCTTGTTGTTGTTGTTGTTGCTGCTGCTTATGATCCAGTTGTTGTTGTTGTCGTTAATATGTTGTATGCGCATTTAGCGGGCCGTGTAATTAATTAAGTTGTTTTGTGGCTGTTGTTGATCAGCAAAAACACGACGCTAAATTAAAGGCCTCGCCGCCAGAGCAAAATCAATAAATAAACTTTGTGCAGCTTACAGGTAAATTCATTTTTCACCTCTCGCACAAACCTGCACACAGACAGTTGCAATCCATCCTTGAAACTAGCTAAGCGACAGCAGCAGCGACAGGTAACAGCAGCCGCTCGTCCGCTCACCTGTGCCGCCCACGCTGACACCGAACAACTTTGGCCCCATTGAAGTTTTACCCTGCAGCTGGAGCAGGGATCGGGGTGTAGGGCTGCGTGCTGCGTGCTGCATGTTAAATTGAGACTGTGGGTGGGACTGCGACTGCGACTTCGACTGTGACTGCGCCATGTCCTGGAGCATACGCTTGATTTCCTAACTAAGCACGCAAATGAAGCGTGCACGCATCAAGGATGCGCCTCTTTCTCTGTTGCCAGCTCGAGTCCTGTGCGATGCACGAAGGACGCAGGATGCGCGGCACGCAGCACTTCTCAAGCAAGGAGGAGAGTAAGAGAGAGAGAGAGAGAGAGAGAGAGAGAGAGAGAGAAGGAGTACGAGAGCGATAGAGAGAGTGAGGGAGAGAGCAAGTGTGTCATGAGATCAAACTGTGTTTAATCGGTAAAATTATGCAATCGAAACGGAGTTGCACAGTGGTGCGATATATAATGAAAATGCGAGCAAAAAAAAAAATGATTGAATGAAATGAAAGTTCAATTTATAGAATATTCAAAGGACATTGAAGTGATTGGATAATAAATAAATTATGCATAAATTTGATATTTTTACAAATATTTTGGCTTCTTTCTGGAGAATCTTATATTTTGATAATATCTTATGTCTGTATCTCGACTTTTCAGCCACATGCCAGAATTGTAGTTGACAAAAAACCAAAAGAAAGAAAGCATTTGAATAATTATTTTAATTATTAATCAATTATTATGACTTATTTCATGGGTGTATCATTAAAGATTGAAAAAACAAACAAAATTGGAAATAAAACTAGATAATCAGCAAGTATTAACCGGCTTTGTACGGGCAAGCCAAAATTGAATTCAAAGATCTGCTTTTAGGCTAGATGATCTACAAATAGACATAAGTGCCAAGTTTTTACAAAGAAGATCTTTAATCTTGTAAAATCCAATAGCAAAGAGAGACAAAAACTTTTTGCGGTATTCTTGTAAATGGTAAAACTCTACAGATTGAGCTGTGCATTGCTGATCAATCAGCTAGTCAGTCGGTCAAACAATCAATCAATTAGAGCAACACTTTTAAGGGCTTTTTAAAGATCTGAGGCAGCTGTTATCGAGCGCTCAAAGCAGTCTTCGCCAGATAGAGATAGATACGCTAGATGAAAGATTTGTCATCTGTTGTCGTTTGGTCAACCGATAAATGTTATTAGAACCTTGTCTAAGACAACGCCGTCGACTTTGGCTCGTGTTGCGTCAATTAGCAGATCTAGCTACAAGCTGCGGCGCCGACAAACGACGCTGGGGTCGCCTATATATAGGCCACTTATACAGCTGACTGATCAGTTGTTTGGTTTGAGTTTGGAGTCGTAGCGACATGGCAGCCACGAGTTACGATAGCGTTGAGAAGACCTGGTCGGGTCCCAAAGACAAGGAGTACTATGGCCCCGACATGACACTGGGCGAGGTGGCGCTGCTCATACTGAAGCTGCATGCGGACAATGTGATGCAGATCTTTGATCCGACCGGCGAGACCCTGACCGGCGCCCAGCTGTACGAGCAGAGTCGTCGTCTGGCACACGCCTTTCAGCATCTGAAGCTGCATCGCGGCGACGTGGTGGGCATATCCGCCAAGAATACCACCTATCTAACCGAGGTGGTTATTGCCGCCCTGCTAAGTGGCACGCCCATAAACCCATTGCACCCTGACTTTGATAAGGGTAAGTGCAAAATCTAGAGAAATCTTCTTGCATATTTCATATGCCAATTTAACAGAGACGGTCGCCTATATGTACGAGATAACCAAGCCGAAGGTCATCTTTTGCGATCTGGACAACTATGAGACCCTGGCGGCCGTCAAGAAGAGCTTGAAATTCAAGACGGAACTCATTTTGCTGAGCGGCAGTCTACCGGGTGTGCGTAATATCCAAGATCTGCTGCAAGATGGCTGCCATGACTATGACCCGAAAACGCTGTAGGTAGAGCTACAGTTGAACTTGAGAGCCAAAGCTTAAGATCCTTTCCACAGGTTTGCCTGCCCGCATTTAAGCGGCGACGATACGGCCTTCATCATCACCTCCTCGGGGGTAACCGGTCTGCCAAAGGGTGTCACGCGCTCGCATCGCAGTCTGCTGAACAACACCAAAATGTAGGTCGTCCTATTGATCCACCAAAGCATTGTGCAGGCAATACTTATCCTCCCTCTCTCTCTTTCTCTCTCTCTCTCTCTTTGTCGGCGCAGTCCACAGTTGTTCACCTCGGAGACGGTGGTCTTCTGCTTCAGCCCCTTGTACTGGGTCTCGTGCGTCTTCACGCTGCTCGTCTCGCTGGTGAATGGCTGCAAGCGCGTGATTACCAATAAGCCCTTCAGCGTGGACTATTTCGCCGAGCTGGTGGCGCGTCATAAGGTCAGCTTTGTGCTGACCGTGCCGCATCAAATGGCGCTGCTGGCGAAGAGCCAACGCACGGATCTGGCCAAGCAGCTGCAGTCGGTGCAATCGTTTATCTGCAGCGGCTCCAAGCTGCCAGTCGGCATCTGGCGTCGCCTGTACGAGCTGCTGGGCAGCGACAGATTTGCCGTGCTCTATGGTCTCACGGAGATCGGGGGCGTTAGCAAGAATGTGGGCGGTCCGCTGGGCAGCGAGGGCAGGCTGTTGCGCAACGTTCAGGTGCGCATTGTGGACGAGCAGGGCAATGCGCTGGGCCCCAATCAGACGGGCCACATTCACGTACGCCTCAATCAGCGCTGGGGCGGCTACTATCGCAATCCTCAGGACACGCAGACAACGGTTACGCCGGATGGCCAGTGGCTGCTGACGGGTGATCATGGCTACTTTGACGACGAGGGCTGCCTGCACTTTCAGACCCGCGACACGGACGTCTTCAAGTACAACAACATTCCCATCTATCCCAAGCAGATCGAGGATGTTATCCTGCACTTGCCCGGCGTTCATGAGGTGGCCATCTTTGCTGTGCCCGACGAAATATCCACCAATCTGACAGCCTGCGCTGTCGTGCGCGAACAGAACGAGGAGGGTCAGCAGCTCACCGCGGAGAAGATCAGTGGCATTGTGGCGGAGCATTTGAGCGAGGCCTTTCATCTACGTGGTGGGGTTTACTTTGTGGACGAACTGCCCAAGACCACAAATAACAAAATACAAAGGCGTCGCATTCTGGCGGAATTGAAGCAAAACTATGGGGTCACGCATTTGTAAAGCAAATTTCAATAAACTTTGAACTATTAAAACCCAAATGAATCATTTTTGGGAGAGACAAACCAATATTCCTTCAAAGAGCAAGGCATAGTTAGGTTTCTTTCAGCCCATCAAAAGTGAGAGAAATTTGGCATACTTTGGCATTGACAAATTTCGAGGGGAAGCCTAAAGGCTGACATCAGCTCAACAGATCCGTTGTATAACTATATTAATTTAATTACTGAATCAAGAGGAAAATTTCTTGAATGGAAACGTTTCCGACTCGTTCTTGGCCCACTCGAACGTCTGGTGACTGCTCTAGATGTCGCCAGCCAGACCAAATCAGTATCTATTTAAACAAACTTCAGTTGACAAAAACACAAAAACAAAAATACAAAGACAAAGACTGCGCAGATCACAACAACAACAAGAGCTAAACGTTGTCTGGCAACGTGTCGCGGCAATTAGCGAGTCGGTATTTGCTTCCTATTTATGACTTGCAGCGTATAAAAACCTAGCGAGACGCAGTAAATCACTTAGTTGTAGAACAATCGCGACACCAGCAAGATGTTTGGCAACGCCTCCTGTGAGGTGCACTACGATGCCGCGACACGCACCTGGCTGGGGCCGCGGGGCAAGGAGTTCTACGGTCCCGAAATGACGCTCGGCGAGGTGACGATGCGTGTGCTGAATCTGAATGCGGACAAGGTGCTGCAGCAGTGCGATATTACGGGCGTGGAGCTGACGGGCGCTCAGCTAGCCCGACAGGGCCTCATCATTGAGCAGGCTTTCAAGCGGCTGGGTTTGCAGTGCGGCGATGTTGTTGGCATTTCGGCAAGTAATACAACCTATCTGACGGGCGTTACCATTGCGGCCATGCTCTGCGGCACGCCCATCAATCCATTGCATCCGGATTTCGATCAGGGTACGGCACTTATAGAAACTATTCCTTGATCAGCTGCTCAGGAAATTCTTTCCGCAGCGACCGTCAAGTACATGTACGATATCACAGAACCGAAGCTGATCTTTTGCGATGTGGAGAACTATGCGATTATCAAAGCGGTCAACGAGCAGCTGGCCAAGCCGGCTTTAATCTACCTGGTGAACGGTCACATTGAGGGTGTGCGCGATGTCAGCGAACTTTTGCGTGAGGACTGCATAGCACCAGCTGCGTAAGTTATGCATTTAGCCTTGACTTTCGCTTACTGATAGGCTCTTCCGCAGCTATGTGCCCTGCCCCAAGCTGAATGGCGATCACACCGCCTTCATTGTGTGTTCCTCGGGCACAACGGGCATGCCCAAGGGTGTGACCCGTTCGCATCGCAGCCTGATTTGCAATTGCAAAAAGTAAGTGGGTGTGCACAAAAAGGTAGCTCTTGTTAACCGGCAACTCTCTTGTAGTCCGAACACCTATACCCGGGACACGATCGTGCTGTCGTTCAGTCCGCTCTACTGGATCTCCGGCACATACATGCTGCTGGCCAACCTGCTGAATGGCTGCAAACGCATCATCACCCATCGACCGTACACCGTGGACTACCTGCTGCAGGTGGTCGCCCGGCATCAGGTGACCTTTCTGTTTCTGGCCTCGCATCAGATAGCGCTGCTCTCCAAATGCCAAGACGATGTGGCCAAGATCAGAGCTCAGCTAGAATCGGTGCGCGTGCTAATTGGCGCCGGGTCAAAGGTGTGCAAGGCCGTCTCGCGGCGCATGTACGAGCTGATAGGAAATATGCGCTTCGTGGTCGGCTACGGCCTGTCCGAGGTGGGTGGCATCAGCAAGAATCTGGGCGGACCGCTGGGCAGCGAGGGCAAGGTTATGCGCAATGTGGAGCTGCGCGTCCTGGACAAGCTGCGCATGCCGCTGGGCATTAACGAGGTGGGCATCATCTATGCGCGCCTGCGCTACAAATGGGCGGGCTACTATCGCAATCCGGAGGCCACCAAACGCGCTCTCAGTCCCGACGGCCAGTGGCTACGAACGGGCGACATTGGCTATCTCGATAGCGAGGGCTACCTGTACATACAGACGCGCGACACGGACGTCTTCAAGTACAACAACTTTCAGATCTATCCCGAGCAGATTGAGGAGTTCATACTACGTCTGCCCGGCGTCAGCGAGGCCTGCGTCTTTGGCATACCAAACGAGGTGTCCAGCAATCTGACAGCCTGCGCTGTGGTGCGCACCTCCGATCTGGAGGGTGAGAAACTGACAGCGGATCAAGTGCGCAACATCGTGGAGCGCTACTTGAGTGGCGCCTATCATATACGCGGCGGCGTCTACTTCCTGAAGGCCTTGCCCAAGACCTCCAATGACAAGCTGCAGCGGCGCAAGGTGCCCGAACTAGTTAAGAGCTTGGGCTTAGTTGCCGAATAGAACTGTATACCATATCTGTATATAGGTTAAGTTTTTTATTCTTGTCGATCAGTGTTTAAGATCGGCATAGAACTCTATTGAACTGAACAGTTCAGTAGAAATGAACATCTGTTGACAATAATCTATATTAGGGAATATCTCTGAAACTTGATCAATTCACCTGCGCTGATCAGTCAAAATGAAAGATCATTTTAATCTGGAGTAAAGAGCTGCCCTTCTAGAGAGCGAGATAACACAATAAACTTCTTAGTGTGATCAGTAAACATGAAGATCACTTTAAAAGAATATTAATCAACTTTAAGATACAGATAGTTTGATAGTTTAAAGATCAAGCTTATCAAAAAGATCAAATGTTACGCCTACCTTTCAATTTAAAGATTAGTTTATATAAAATGATCCTTGATCAAGTTCTAAATGTATCTATATCTATTGGAAAGAAGCTATAGCTGTTTAAATTGTGATCGTGACAATTGAAGGTCAAGATTTTGAAGATCGGTTTCTTTCTCAAACAGAAATGATAGTTTTCAGATCAAGTTTATCAATAAAATCAAATGTTATTCCTAGCTGTAAATGTAAAGATCTGTATAAATAAAATGATTCTTTCCCAAGATCTACATGTATCTAAAACTATCGGGATGTGCCCGTACATATTTTAATGATGATCAAACTGGTGAAGATCAGTTCACATGTCTTGTTTAATGTTGAAGATTCGTTTCATTCAAGTTTATGGATGATTGTGAATGCTTAACTTTTAATTTAAAGACCTTATCAAGCAGATACCTTTAGATAAGCCTAAATCAATTCGAATGTATGGGACAGTAATCTGATCAGCAACGAACGTATTTGAATTGAAGATCAAGAAGTTTAGCTGTAAGAGAAAGCTTTCGATTTAAGGTTTCACTTACAATTTAACTGCCGGCTGATTTCAAGCAATTGTCATAGAGTTTGTCACACTGTGCCTTCGATTGAAACTAATGCCAGGGATTCAATGCATTTTAATAGAGATTGAAATTGTAAATGCAATGTGCCCCCGCACGCTTGAGACAAGCAACGGCTCGACTGGATGGCTGCTGGATGGTGCTGTTGGCCAATGACAAGCAATTTGTTATTTGTGGCACTCCTGTGGCTGCACCGTGTGCTCACTGTACTCGGAGCAAAAAGGCAAAGAAGTGCAACGGGCATGGGACAACATAAAATGAATTGAGAAATTAAAATTGCAATATGCAATACATATTTTATTGTATATATATATGCGACACGATTGAGGTTAACATTTGGACAGTTGACAAATGCCAAATGAAATGCGGCCAAAACACGATTCAATTTGCGTAGCTTCGACCGTGTCCATGTCCTGGCTAACCGACTGACTGGCCGAGTGACCGAGCGGCAAGTGGAGGGACGGAACGGCTAGAGGTAAACTAACTAAGCCCTAACAATATGCTACGGCCATCTGCATTGTGCAACTAATGCGGATTATCCCCGGGGGCTTTGCAAACTGCACCCAAGGTGTAAATTTGTCTCTGCGAGGGATTTGCATGGCCAAGTGAATAGGCATGAACGAACGAATGCATGAATGAATGAGTCTATGAATGCATAGTTACAGCCAGCCAACCCTGAGCCTAGTTACCCAGTTTTGCTGCTTAACACTTTCACAAAAAAAACAAAAAAACAGAATTCAAATCTCATTTTTAGCCCGTTTAAGCTGTTGACATGAGCCTCAACCTTTGAGCTACAGCAAGACTTCGAGATACCTAACGAGCATTCCAGATTTCTTCTTTCTCTTTAGATGCATACCATCAGCTCCTATATAAGATATGCAGCCTTGATTAACTTCGTGCTCCATAGTCCGATCTTTATGAAATTTTCAGTGCTTTAGTGTGACATTTTAAGATGTGTGCATACCAAGGTTCACGGACATATTATTAAGAATATACGTTATTTTCATTCAGGGAAAAATGTTGGGAGATATCAGAAAAGTGAATTATTTTTAATGATAATCATAAGAGAACCTACATGCCAAATATAGTGCATATATCATTTATAATTTTCGAGCTATGCTCTTCAAATCGATATTTATCGATACTGTGCGATAAAGCTGATATATCGAGTGGCTCATTTATATGTTTCTCAAGTTTCAACTCTGCAGCATTTGTAACTTCCTGCAGTCTATGACACACATTTGCAATGGATTCAGGGTATTAAGTTAAGCTTCAATAGACGGCCTGGCAACCTGTTCAAATATTTTGCTCGAATTGCAAGCAGCACAAACAAGGAAACAACAAAAATTCCTGTGTGCCTCAAGAGTTGTTGGCAGAGCAAAAAAAAAAAAAGCGCAAAGACAACCGAAATGCCTTCTGTGGCAGCATTTTCATTGATTTGCCGAAGAAATTTATTAAATTGAGGCTTGATTGCAAAATAAAAACGATTTGCCGCAATGAAAACTGTTATGCCATTATTCAAATGCAATTTATCGAACGGCGCCCATTTGCCATCAACAGCTCCTCACCATGTCCAGGTCCATGGGCGGCATTCGAGATAAATGCATAGCTATATGCCAAATGCCACTCAAAGCACATCAATCGAAAATTCATGGAATTGCATAAATGCCCATGCCACAAGGAGAGCCATTCTCTAACAGTAGGCGGCGCGTGAGTTCTTGCCACACGTTGCAACCGAAATCAAAACACATTTTTCTCACATTTTACGAACTAGCAAAGTTTGAGGCACAGATAAATATGAGCATACGTTTATTTATTTTTATGCCCCGAACCCATTGAAAATGTCTAAAAAGGGTATATTGTATTTGTGCGAAAGCCAAGATTCGTATATAGACATGGGTCAAAAATTACCACCCCCATAACTCGGTCAAATCTCATCCGATTTTCACGAAGTTTGGCTTTTTCTTCACGGTTTTCCCTCTAGATTAATCTGGCATTCAAATCTGAACACCGATTTTTTAGTCGAAATTCATGTCCAAATCTTACCCCAAGATTCGTATATAGACATGGGTCAAAAATTACCACCCCCATAACTCGGTCAAATCTCATCCGATTTTCACGAAGTTTGGCTTTTTCTTCATGGGTTTCCTTCTAGATTAATCTGGCATTCAAATCTGAACACCGATTTTTTAGTCGAAATTCATGTCCAAATCTTACCCCAAGATTCGTATATAGACATGGGTCAAAAATTACCACCCCAATAACTCGGCCAATTCTCATCAGATTTTCACGAAGTTTGGATTTTTCTTCATGGTTTTCCCTCTAGATTAATCTGGCATTCAAATCTGAACACCGATTTTTTAGTCGAAATTCATGTCTAAATCTTACCCCAAGATTCGTATATAGACATGGGTCAAAAATTACCACCCCATAACTCGGTCAAATCTCATCCGATTTCCACGAAGATTGGCTTTTTCTTCATGGGTTTCCCTCTAGATTAATCTGGCATTCAAATCTGAACACCGATTTTTTAGTCGAAATTCGTGTCCAAATCTTACCCCAAGATTCGTACATAGACATGGGTCAAAAATGACCACCCCCATATCTCGGCCAAATCTCATCCGATTTTCACGAAGTTTGGCTTTTTCTTCATGGGTTTCCTTCTAGATTAATCTGGCATTCAAATCTGAACACCGATTTTTTAGTCGAAATTCATGTCCAAATCTTACCCCAAGATTCGTATATAGACATGGGTCAAAAATTACCACCCCCATAACTCGGCCAATTCTCATCAGATTTTCACGAAGTTTGGATTTTTCTTCATGGTTTTCCCTCTAGATTAATCTGGCATTCAAATCTGAACACCGATTTTTTAGTCGAAATTCATGTCCAAATCTTACCCCAAGATTCGTATATAGACATGAGTCAAAAATTACCACCCCATAACTCGGTCAAATCTCATCCGATTTCCACGAAGATTGGCTTTTTCTTCATGGTTTTCCCTCTAGATTAATCTGGCATTCAAATCTGAACACCGATTTTTTAGTCGAAATTCATGTCCAAATCTTACCCCAAGATTCGTATATAGACATGGGTCAAAAATTACCACCCCCATAACTCGGTCAAATCTCATCCGATTTTCACAAAGTTTGGCTTTTTCTTCATGGTTTTCCCTCTAGATTAATCTGGAATTCAAATCTGAACACCGATTTTTTAGTCGAAATTCATGTCCAAATCTTACCCCAAGATTCGTATATAGACATGGGTCAAAAATTACCACCCCCATAACTCGGTCAAATCTCATCCGATTTTCACGAAGTTTGGCTTTTTCTTCATGGGTTTCCTTCTAGATTAATCTGGCATTCAAATCTGAACACCGATTTTTTAGTCGAAATTCATGTCCAAATCTTACCCCAAGATTCGTATATAGACATGGGTCAAAAATTACCACCCCCATAACTCGGCCAATTCTCATCAGATTTTCACGAAGTTTGGATTTTTCTTCATGGTTTTCCCTCTAGATTAATCTGGCATTCAAATCTGAACACCGATTTTTTAGTCGAAATTCATGTCTAAATCTTACCCCAAGATTCGTATATAGACATGGGTCAAAAATTACCACCCCATAACTCGGTCAAATCTCATCCGATTTCCACGAAGATTGGCTTTTTCTTCATGGTTTTCCCTCTAGATTAATCTGGCATTCAAATCTGAACACCGATTTTTTAGTCGAAATTCATGTCCAAATCTTACCCCAAGATTCGTATATAGACATGGGTCAAAAATTACCACCCCATAACTCGGTCAAATCTCATCCGATTTCCACGAAGATTGGCTTTTTCTTCATGGTTTTCCCTCTAGATTAATCTGGCATTCAAATCTGAACACCGATTTTTTAGTCGAAATTCGTGTCCAAATCTTACCCCAAGATTCGTATATAGACATGGGTCAAAAATGACCACCCCCATATCTCGGCCAAATCTCATCCGATTTTCACGAAGTTTGGCGTTTTCTTCATGGGTTTCCCTCTAGATTAATGTGGCATTCAAATCTCGACACCGATTTTTTGGTCGAAATTCATGTCCAAATCTTACCCCAAGATTCGTATATAGACATGGGTCAAAATTTACCACCCCCATATCTCGGCCAAATCTCATCAGATTTTCACGAAGTTTGGCTTTTTCTTCAAGGCTTTCCCTCTAGATTAATGTGTCATTCAAATCTCGACACCGATTTTTTGGTCGAAATTCATGTCCAAATCTTACCCCAAGATTCGTATATAGACATGGGTCAAAATTTACCACCCCCATATCTCGGCCAAATCTCATCCGATTTTCACGAAGTTTGGCGTTTTCTTCATGGGTTTCCCTCTAGATTAATGTGGCATTCAAATCTCGACACCGATTTTTTGGTCGAAATTCATGTCCAAATCTTACCCCAAGATTCGTATATAGACATGGGTCAAAATTTACCACCCCCATATCTCGGCCA